GTAGTCCGCCAATGTTTCCGATCCTGTATCCTCACACTACGTGGCAAAACATAAGGAAGTGTGATAAACATCCCTGCTCTGGAAAAGGACATGATACATCCTGTACACGGGACAATCAGGGTCTCAGAGCTAAACAGGGGTGATGTAGGATATTTAACACATGACATCAAAGTAATATCATTTATAATCTCAATGCATAAGACACGACTGCATGAGTGTAGAGATCAAACTTGAATTTACGACAATAAAATTGCGAGACTAAGATATATCCAACAAATATTGCTTCTACTTTCGGGGAAAAGATGTAAAATTTTCAAATACAAATATCCCTGTGATGTTTATTCTAATTATTTCATCCACACATTCAATGTTGCCGCTCATTTAAAAAATAAACAAAACTTGATTGGCAGGTTAACTGTTGCATGTCAGATTGTTTGACAGAACTGTGGAAGTTAAACTGGAACTCTGTGTAAGACAGGTTGTTAAAATGTAAGTCTCAGCTTCCTGTTGAAAGGTTCCAGTTTCCGACTTCAGCAGACTCTCAAGGGCTGATAATCGTTAGGGAGCTGCGTGGTTTCGTTCCAAAGACACTAAATTAAGGACGAGACCAGATCATTTTTGTTATTGTGACTTTCACGCTAGGGATGTTCTCTCTTGACACCATGACAAGTGTTTCAGTACAAACCATTCTGCTTCTTCTGCACATCTTAATCTGATAGATTGTTCTCAGATCTAGTACACTCTAGATTTTTATATCACCTGAACGACAGGATAAACGTAGATTACCATCTTAATTTTAGTAAAGCAGTGGAGTGAAGGGTCACAAGAGAACGATCAGTAACAGTAGCAGCAGTATTATCATGGTCTGCTCTAAACTTACAATTGCTGCTGACATTTCTTGCATACAGTAGCATAATTCAAAATGTTCAGCTTTTACCATGCGTGGTGGCGCCACATGGGACTAAAGAACGCTTTGTTTGTTGGCCACGCCAGCAGCATTGCTCCAGAGACGGCAATCTTGCTCTTTTGATCAGCTCATGACTTTTTGTATTGATATTCATTCTGCCCATTGGATGAAATGCAGTTGGTAGGATTTATTGACCTTTCAGCCAATTCCACAAAAACGTCAAACATTTATCATTTACTAGGAAATATATCGGGCGGATTAACACAACATTGTGTTAATCCATCGAGTTACACAATACACTTCAAATTTAACATCAGATTTACAATACACACACCTATCTCAAAGATAAAAATCAAAATCAGTGAGCCAACTCATTAGGAAGTTCTCCTAAGTTATACTGTACTATCCAGGACCATGTTTACCTAACAGCTGCTAATGTGTACATAAGGAAAGCCTGTGTTATAAACATATTTTCCTCAAACCCTCCCACATGAGTAAATGAGCTATTCTTACCTTGGCATCGCACCCGGATACTTAACTTTGCTGTGGTTCAGCCCCGGTGAGATCCAAGGCCAAAACGCCTGCGTGTACACAACTTATCAAGTCAGACACATTAAGGGGTAACAAACGAGATAGCACAAAAACCTACATGTGCATGAATGGACCAACCGTTACCTCAGGAGAAATGACTGAGCTTGTTATACATAGTATTTTCTCTTTCTTTTGATATTTTCTTTATTTTTTATCCTTATTTAACAGAATAATAAAATTCGTTTGAGGCAGTAAACAAACAAACGGGGCTGATCCAACTTGTCTATCAGGATAACTAGTAACTGGATGGTGGGGCGTGGAATTTTATTTTTAGTTCGACTCAAACTTCTGCATAAACATGATAAAAAGATGTTATACCATGCCTACTGTACAATAATCCTCTTCACCTTTCATAGAGTGTTATCTTTAAGAATCTGTAGCACATGTGACTGCCTGGGGGCCCCCAAGAGCCCTTGCAATGCCCCACAAAAACAGGAGCTTTAGGAAGCTACAAAACTACTAATAGCGAGGCGATGCATTATAAGGAACATCTGTAACTGGGTTAACTACACAAAATATCCTGGGTTACACTATTATTATTATTATTTTCTAAGGCAGAGTCGTGGATTAATTAAAGCACGCTGGTTGTGCCCTGAACACAAATTCAAATGCCAGCTCACAACAAGCTCACTGCTTTCACTAAACAAGTATAACCATTGGATCTTTATTAAAAGGGGCAATTTTTATTTCATCTACTTAATGTTTTTTATAACTGTTGGTATAGAGCGAGAGTAATTGCTTGTACCATTAAAGTAATGAAAGACTCATTTGGACATTGGTATAAGCAACACAGCTACAACTAATAAAATTGACAAGGAGCGTGTTAGATTTACAGTGTGTGAATGATCAAGCATTGACAATGGTCAATAGTGTTGGTTGTACGGAGGCGGTGGGGGGCCCCAAATCAAATTCTGCTCAGGCCCCCGTAAAGGCTATGGCCGGCTGTGGTTGTTCAACATCACTCTCCACAAGAGCACAGCAAAGTGAAGTGTATATTACCAGTGAAATATTTAGACTCATTGAATCCAACAAAGACCCTCCACAAAAACGACTTTTTGAGGTGGTTTAACTGTATGTGTATATATCCTATTACTGTTTCCTTACACAATGGCAACTCCAACTGATTGCGTTTTCCTGTTATGTTATGTGACATAAGCATGGTGTCTACAGACAGCTGTTTGTGGACTTCTAGGCTACAAACGCCTACGGAATGCAAACAACAGGGGCACATCATGAGACAATAGGCATATTTCCTATAGCCTATTTATTAAAAAAAATTAGGACAGCAGATGAAAAGAGCATTTGATTTTGTTCTTCAATGGAGTTCATCTTTGAAGTTACGGTAGGTAGGAAACCTATATTTTGTCTGTGTTTAGCCGTATTGAAGCAGTATTATTTGCATTCTGAAAGTTACTGTGGGTGTTAGACTAAACTCTCTCTGGGTTTGCTTGAGGAAGCTGTAGATTAACAATGAGTAAACACAATTGTTCTTTTGAAAGTGTTCAAACAAACCAGCCACACGATTTGTTTTGCTATGAATGTAGTACAGAGCATTGAAAGTGTGAGCAGCAAAGGTTTTCCTGAGATCATAGTAAGCAGGTAATTATGTAAGAAAGTTACATTTTATTTATATATCACCTTTCAATGTCCTGTACAAAGGATTAAAGAGGCCAGGACATTAGATAGAGGCCACAATGCCTCTGTCTGGTGTTCTGGGTTCGCCTTCACTGAAACAGTGGAAGCGACGATGTGTATTGACAAAGGGACCATAAAAGAATGTATGGAAATGCAAATAAACCACTGACAACACACAAGTTCAAATGGACTAAAGACACATCCAAAACAACCAAGAAGACACAAAAAGACACAATTGCACAGTTTATGATTGTGTGATCTGTTGCCACAAAGAGGGATGTTTCCTAAATGTAGAGATTCTGCTAATAATAGGCAATATTTAAGGATGGGTTCACATGTATTCAAGGCCACCAGTTAACCTCATAGTTAAGCTTAAGTGGCTGTGGCTTAGGAGGTCAAAGGTGCGGTAGTTCAATGCCCAGTCCTTGGGCAAGATACAGAACTATTAAAGCACTGAATGACTGTGTGTATGACTGGGTGCACTGCAGAGTGCTTTGAATGGTGGAAAAGAGCTGCAAAAGCACCATATAGGCACAATTATGCCTGTTCCCAGTCGAGAACTTTACTCTTTTAGTTCATTTTATGCAAAGAGCGATGCACCAATGTTTAAGTCCCAGATACTTCCCTCAGGAGTTGGTGGAGACCAAAAACTGAAATAAAACAAGAATGATTGTATTCATATTTTGCATTGTTGCATCATAACTGATTTGACATAACTGCTGAAAAGGGGTTGGGGAAGTCCCTCCCTCAGAGCAGCACTAACACAAAGAGGAAGTTGTAACTATGTGCAAAGACTGTGAAGATAGTGGCTTGATTCGCCTTACTCTGACAGCTCGATCATTATGTTAGCTTTGGAAGAACTTTAAAAAGACCTTCAGAGAGAGACTGTGGATTTTGTCCCACACCACTTGCATTACAGTAGTGTAAGTAAAGGGATCTTGCCATGATCAGTGTGTACAAGAAAAGGGATGGTCACATTTTAAGATGGGTACGTGCAATAATGTTTCTGATAGTTGTTGACTGTGGGCAGGTAGCAGTGTCTCAGGGTTTATGACACCATGTCTGACGTGTTGTGTGTTTCCACTGGATCACCTCAGGGTTGTGTTGTTTCACATTCTGTACACCAACAAGTGCAGAAGTAGTACAGAAACGCCAGCGCCAGCAGCGTGTTGACTTAACTTCCTATCAACTGACAACTGACAAGATCAGATTGTCCGATTATGTTACTTGACCTCTTCACTAGGTTTTATATTTTACAAGCTTTTAAGGTAACCAGCAGTTTTTCTGAGGTGCAGTATATAGTAGCAGACAATGGAAATACCTCAAAACTGAACTTGAGCCTGTCTTGAGTGAGATAGATAGATAGATAGATAGATAGATAGATAGATAGATAGATAGAGGTTCCTGTTTGATATTTATGATTGACCTTGACACAATACTAAGCATAAATCTACAATAGCCAAAGAGAGTGAGCTGTCACCAACCAGATGTTGACCACATGTATATCTGTGACTAAAAACACGTATACATTTCCCACTCAGCGTGTACAAGTGTATAACTCAGTGTATAAGCAAAGCTGGTTCCGCCTTCTCAGTCAAGACGTCATCCACAGTTCTTCTTTCTCTCACTTTTTGTTTAGTTGGAAAACAGAAAATTCTCTTGTTTGCACCAGACCATGGTCCTACTGTATGTGTAGTGTGCTGAAGTTTTGGTCACGCATAAAGTTGCTGCTGCAGGCGCTTTAATATCCCATAATAACCCCCACATGAGTAACCCACCCTGCCCCCACCGCGCCCGTCCCTCGGCACACTGTCTGGACCAATGAGGAGGGGTCGTCCTCAGGACCGCTACAAATACAGCGCGCTCTCTGGGTGTCGCTCGAGACGGAGTGAAGGGACCGCGTGGTGCACAGCTTCATGATTAACCACGAGTAAACACACGCAGCCCGGAGACTACACAAACAACTCCCGTTGGCACTTTTCTTTTAAAGCTGCTTTGACACTGAGAAACTTTATTCGAACTAAAGAGGGGGAGCAGCAGCAGGTGACTGAACCAATATCCGAGCTGTTCATTCACAGCTTTCTCGGATCTGTGTCTGAAGACTGAAGAAAAACTGCTCATCCATCCTCTGAGGGTCTGTGGCAGCACCTGCGACCATGACGCGGAGATCGTGCGCGATCTACGCGGTGGGCATCACCTGCGCCGGACTGCTGGTCATCGGCATCGGCCTGTTTGTGTTGCAGTCTTTCCGCACGCTGATGCACAACCGACTCAAGAAGGTAAACAAACAAACCAGCAAAGTTCACCCTCACGTCTTCATCATGTGCGCAGTGCAGCACGTGGGACTACTCACATGCATCCGCTCTTTCAGTGAAGTGAGAACAAGTTGAGTGAGCGGGTAGAGAGTCTGCTGAGGATGATGGATTTCTTTTCAGTGAATGGTTTAGTCATCAAAGCATAAAACTAATATTGAGCTGAATCTTAAACTAAGTTCAAAACCTCCAAATGTCAAATTTTCCACAACATTCACTTTGTAAATGACATAAAAAAGGCACCATTCATAAAAGCTTCAAAAGCTGTAGGTTATTAATGTTGATAAATTGTTTATTTCTCATTGGAGACTATAGGGCTGTGTGATATGGACAAAACAATCTTCTTTATGAGGAACAAAACCTAGTTTAATCTGAGGTTGATAAATTATGTGTTATTACCCCTCACAATCCTTACACTGTTCATAATCAATGTATGTTGGACTTGTTGTATAGCTATTGGTTTGTTTTTATAATGCAATAATAATTGTTATTGTTATCCATGACATATGTTACTGAGTCATTAACAATACATACCATGGTTTTCAATTTCCTATAAATCAGGTTGTACCAGTTATAAATGTTAATAAGCCTTTATCAGCAAAGTCAGTCACCAAATTGCGTTCTACAATAGACCATCATTTTGGTATTTAAAAATAGGTTCGAGTGTCATGCAGGAGCAGGACTTTCATCAACCTGGAAACCCAAACATTTTATATTATGTTGTATTTACAAATGTTGCCTTATCAGACGGTGGCACTGAAAAGGTTTGCACAATGTTCCTCACCCAGTTTCACCCTGTACTGTTTGCAAAGTAAGCTGGAGGTGTGGGGCTGTATTCAGTGCAAACCACTAACACTCACTAGAATACAGAGACGTAAGATCTCTCCAGGAGTCTTCACTATTGATCAGTCAGTCAGTCGATTAATTGATGAAACGTTGTAAAGATTTATGGAAACATGCCCCTGGCTTTGTAGAGCTGGAGATGACGACCTGTTTTGTTCAACAAAATCGCTGAAAATGTTCCCATTTTGCTATTTTCTTTTGACAAATAACTGAGAAAATTGATCAAAATATTCAAAACAATTGATTATTTTGTGGAGATGAATTAATCAGTAAAATGTTTTTGCTCTACTCAGTGTTATGGTTCCAAACAGACTAATCGAGATGAATTGCAGCAGCGAAACAAACTTTGAGGTCATCATGATGAATTATCTTGTTGCAGCTCTGCAACTGTGTGTGTTGTGACGGTTGTGACTTGTTCTTAAACTTGACAGGGTGTTGCTTCCTATACCAGAACCTAAAACTCCCTCAGATGGAGGATGAGAGGTTAAGCATTCAGTGACCGGCACTGTGCAGCATGACAAGAAAATTAATGAGTTCCTGAACTCATGGGGAGTTTTCGTCTACATCACTGTAATGTATAGCAAAGATGTAGTTTGACTTAAGTCAGGCTATGGCAGGATTTAGAAAACTTCTCCTTGTGTACGTGTGTGAAAACACTACCACATGTTTGGCAAAGACTACCTACAGTCGTCAGGATCTTCTGAGCATTGGATTCCACTGTGAATTTTTTTTTTCCACAATTTCGTTGTGCTAGTGTACGAAGTACGACTGTGCAATGACAATAAAGTCTTTTGAATTTGAATTGAGATACGCACTGAAGTCTGGACATTTTTCTGGAAGTTTCCCTTGTAAAATGTCCAGAAAATATATGAGTCAGTCTGTGTGAGAACACAGCAGGAAGATGTTTTGAAATTTCCCAGAAAATGAGTGGACGTGTTCACAACAAAAAAAACGTGATGAGCACGCAGAGGTAGTTGACGAAGATGTTAACTTTGAAAGAATTGCTGACAATTCAAGAGCTTTGGTGATGGTTGATGACACGTGGGTGATGTGATTCAGTTGTGGTCTTCAGATTTGCTGGTGCTTCACATTCTTCGGTTTGGAGGAGGAGGAGCGGTGGATGTGACTTAACCTGATGAGAAATGGACATTTAAATTTGTAATCATCAGCGCTCTCATGCAGGTCACACTCTTTTCTCGTTGGGCTCAGCTCGGTGTTATCCTGCAGCTCTCAGTTGCTCGATCATTAATTGCAGAGGTGCAGGAATGAATGAACCACAACACATTTTCAGTCATTAAAAAGCAAACATCTGTTGTAGTTCTTTTTTCCCCCATCATTTGCTCAGCATCAATAAACATGTGACACTTCTGTTCACTTTGTATTGTTTTTCATTCACACTAGTTACTACAAGTTTGTTTCTTATTNTCATTGTAAATTTCAATTTAGAGGCTTCCTGGAGTTCCAGTTTTTAGATGTTGAAGTTCAAAGCGCTCCCAGAAGGTTCACTTTACTTTGATAAATGGTAAAAAAACATGCATTGTTGGCCCATATTCAATATTATCATATGGCACACCTTCATCCTTATTTTCATATCAAACCTGCAGGTCTCAAATGGCTTTTATCAGAGGCTTATTATTGACTTTAGAAGTCCGGAAAGCTCTTCCTGTGCAGGGAGTTGGTCCTAATGCAGAGAACACAGCGATTTTAAGAAAACCTGATTTATAGAGATGTTTAAGGAAATGGAGAAAATAGAAAACCTTCTAAATTGTCAGTACAAGGGATTTGTGGTGAGGGTTGATGTTTGTTTGCTTATCTTGTTCACGTCATTACTTTACATATTTATTTACATATAACTCTAGGATTATCAGTTACAGAGAGAACATTTTACTGTTCACTTAAAGACTTTAGCCTGAACGGCTTGACATGTGTGGCTAAGTTTGTGAAAAGTCCTCTCAAAAAAACATGCAGCCTGTTGCTTCTGGACAACAAAACAAGAGTTGAGGTCGGGGGGGGGTGCCTTCAGTTCCACTGTTTAAACATGTCATGCTGTTGAATTTCATGCAGGGGTTGTGACAGGGGTTGAGGCAGCAGTACACACTGCCACACAGACACACAGTCTTTGTATTGTGTATGTAACCGAGATGTGTGGTTGTTTTTATCATTGCTGCAGTTTATACTTTGACAGACATGTAGGACCATGCCCTCACATTTACGTGAGGCTCTCCAGTCGCAAACTAGTCAGTGCGTATTACACGAGCTGGTTAACAAATTCTTCAGTCTCATTAGCCTACTTGCTAATTACATAGATTATGTTTTCATATCTTTGTTTGTTAGTTAGCAGGATTATGCAGAAATACCTGGACGGATTACCACAAAACTTGCTGAAAGGATGTGGTTTGGGTCAGGGCGGAACACATTAAATTTTAGTACGGATTTGGATCGGGGTAGATCCAGGAACCCTTTTTTTTTAACTTTCTTTAACATTATGACACCGTGTTTGGCATTTTCAGGCATGTTGATAATTATAAGTGTGTGCAATGTGGTGCAGATCCAAATACAGATCCAGATCTGTTGATCTAATGACTGTTGGACCTTGGTGGAGTTGTGTGATCTCTGAGTGCCCTTCTCATTATTTTGTTAGTCTATTAGTTAGCAGGATTGTGTAAAAACTACTGGACAGATTACTGTGAAACCTGGTGGTAGGATGTTTTCTGGATCAGGGAAGAACCATGTAAATTTTGTGATGGATCCAGACCAGGAATTTGTTTTCACTGTCTTTAACATTGTAAGATGATATTTTCACAGATTTCACAGGAAATAATTCTTGATATGATGATATGAGTGTTTGAAATTTGGTGCAGCCTCATTAAATGTAAGAGGACCGATGGGCCTTGGTGGAGGTATGAGCTCGACTGTTCCCACATAGTTTAAATGTACAGGGTCAGGGAAACAAGATCTATATGTCAAGTACCGATTTGGGAAGGTTGTTTCTGCCTCTCAAGAGTATTTATTACATGATCAGACAGATAAACTGTTTTTAAAAACATCTTGTCAAAGTCCATTTTGAGTAGAAAGAAAAACCGTAAAATATACAGTTTGTAAGGGTGTGAGACACATGCACTGGGCTACCATGCAGGTACACTTAGCTATGAGCGGTCTTTGCAGTGTGATATGTTTCAGCCGTATCAAGTTACCGCCTTACCCCGGTTGCATCAGCGTGAAGGATCTCACCCTGTGAATACCCTCCCTGCAGCAGACCGTCTTTGTGTGCTAAGCCTCTTTCACACAGCTCGGTTTATTGGGAAAGTGTCTGGATTGGCAGCCGCTCAGCTTCCATGTGAGTCAAGGGTCAGTATGCAATGACCTGCTGATGAGGTGATGGTGAAAAACGACTTGTCCCCGAATAGGAATTTGGTCATATTTACATGCAGACGAGACGTGGTGGGTCGTTGCCCCTCGCTGGTCGTCTGCAAAGTCTCGTTCAGAGTTTTAGCTTGGACTAAACATTATTAGGTTTTTAAAAGTGAGTTTAGACTAAAGTATTTAGCCAGACAGGCCACAGTTAAAAGATGAAGTAATAAACACACTAGAGTCCAACTTGTGTATTGGTTGGTCCATGTTGACCTATCACAGCTACAGTATATTGGTATCAGCTAATACGATGTCCATGAACATGAAAACGTTTTTGCAGAACATAATACACAAAAAGATGCTCTGGGTAATTAAGAAATTGTGAAATATTGCTTGGCTTAATGTCAATTTCTTTTCCCCAGTAAGCGTGTAGGCTCTTAAGAAGAAAAATAAATGTGAGCAAAAAACACTTCAAATTTGTTAATAGCGTCAAATTGTATTGATTTTTGATTTTTTATTCGTGTCCCATCTGGTTCTGATTTATGAGCTACACTGCAGCCAGCCACCAGAGGGCGTTAAGATAATTTGACCTAACTTTCTGGAAGCTGTCACGTCGTCCATCTTTTAGTTGCTACAACCGCACAGCATGCTGGTTGATTTGTGGATCTGCGCTTTTACACCACTTAGCTGATGTTTAGCAAGTGTAATGCTAACTATCTTCATCTTTGTTTTTCATTCTGGATCAAACTGTTGTTATCGAGACAAACCCATTTCGAGAATGCAAAGCCTGTGCACCAAGACCGGAGGATTTGAAGAATAGCCTCTTGCTGTTCCCAGTGTTATTCACGTCCATGTGTTAGCCCGTCTCCACATCAAAGCGGTAGCATATTGTATTTGTTTATTCACCTGCTACATGTGTTTTCATGTGGGGAGTGGTGTAAGCGTTGAGATGAGAGGGTTTCTGTGTTCCTGTTTTCCACGCGGGGTTTCACGCAGGATGCTGGGCAGGTTGCCATATTAGCAGTCCAAAGCATAAAAAGGATGACATAGAAAGACCACGCCATCCCTTCCTCAATCTAAGGTGACAGCTTCATTGTCCTTGACTACTCAGCTAAACTTTTGTCTCTGAATAAGTATGAGGGACCCTGGAGGAGGAGGGGTCCTGTGCCCTGAGATGATGGCACTCATTGGTTGGCTGTTTTTCAGGGGCTTGTTTCATGCAGAAGACTTGCTTTCAACTTCAACACAAATCTGACACAATTAGGCCAACGCCAGATTTCTTCCTCATGTGTCTTGTTGCAAACACTAATAATCTTGCCCCCTTCCTGCGTCCCTCACTCCCTGTTTTCCAGAGTCTCTAAAGATTCCTGCAGTTGATTCAAGGCGTCGTTGTCCAGAGGTGGTGATATCTGTGGAGACATAATGTGTAATGAAGTAGGATATTATAAGTATGTGCCTGCGCTTCACTATAGGGGCCTCATAAGGCCCGGTGCTGAGGAATGTGGCTCAGATGATTAAGGTTGCAGTCCCGTGCAGCCAGTGGGCACGCAGCTCTCGACATCACATGATCTGTCAGCCCCCCCCCCCCTCCAATGCAGCCCATTGTCAGTGGCAACCACTGAGTGGTAACCACAATGCCACTGTGGAAGGGTCTCCCCCTAATACCATTCATGTGTGCAGCCAATACGCTTGTCTTGAGCTCAGACAGCCTCTTCCCTCCATGACCCCCCAAGGATGTTTTTGTTCTCTGGCTTGTTTTTACTCGGAACAGACTGTGGAAACTCAAACCATGTGTTTGCTGTTAGTGAAGCTTTTTGCACTTTTTTTCCCAAAAAAAACACACCATCGCTTATAAGTAACAATACAAAAGCCTTGAAAAATGCAAAAGTCAGTTCTAACCTACAAAATGAATTAAAATGTTTCAGATTTCTTTTTCAAAGGTGTTAAATGTATTCTGTTGTAGATAGTAAAATGTTTTTTCCCATGTGATGTAAGAAAAACTCCTCAGTGCCATTGTTACTAACCTGATACAAAAATCATATTTGGACCTTAAATTGACATTGTTTTTTACATCTGCTTTATACTCCCATCCAACATTTCAGGTTTTCTTTTCCATCAATTATTCCCTAGTAAATCAATGGAATTTTCGCAAAATATAAATCTGTTAGTTAGAAAACCTGCTTACTTTCAAACAAACATGGATGAAAACACAAGTTGATCCATGTTAATGTACCTGAATTAAACATGCACGGATTTTCACTAAGATTTGCTCTTTGTGCCTCAACAGGAGATTGTTTTGGTTGAGGGCAGCCGTGTGTTTGAGTCATGGAAAACTCCTCCCCCTCCCGTCTACATGGAGTTCTTCTTCTTCAACGTGACCAATGCGGATGAGTTCCTGAACGGGGCCAAGCCAGAGGTCAAACAGGTTGGACCCTACACATACAGGTAGGATGTGAGAGCTCATCACTGCACACGCACAAGTTTCCCCCGGGTCATGTGTCTCTTTTGAATCTATAACATGCCGTCAAATATCAGTGGTTGTATTTTTTGGGAGGCGATGATCTTCGCAGGTCAGCTTCCAATATCACTATTACCTTGGGGATCCTGTCCAAGAAATAAAATGCCTCAAAGAAAATTTAAAAAAGAAATTGGTTTACGAAATTTCCGGCATGATCCATGGTCCCGAATCCCACCGTGTTGCTTTTTTCTTTTGTCTTTGGGTTTGAATCATATCTGCAACACTGCGCACCACAAACTTTTGCAGAGTAGACAATAGTTGAGCTCCAAAGCAGGAACATCTGCTTCTGCTACTCAGCTACTGCTTCTTTTGCCTCCACACTTGCATCTGTTGGGTCAAAATCAGATCAGACAGCTGTGTATTTGTGGTATGTTCCCACGTTCTGTTTTGTGTGTCATGTGAATCTTAGATACTTTATTTATAGGTTTTGAGGTTACAGAGCAAATAACAAAAACCAACTTAAGTAGAACAGCCACCCCGGATCCCCGGCCTCAACACCGCAGTGGGAAAAAAAAGAAAAATAGTAAGAAATTCAGACAGGGGAAAAAAACTGCAACATATAAAGGTTGCTGATATGTACATTTATATATTTTATATATAAATATTTAAATAAATATAGTTTTTAATCAAAGTTGATTATTTACATTTATTTATTTATGTACGCTTTTATTAATTGGTTAATGTATTTTTGTCTTTATTTATGTTCATATTTTTCTATATTAATTTTTTATGTATTTCTATATATATATAAATTAATTAGAAAGTGGACACAGTCAGTGGGTGCATTGTTGTCAACATCACTAATTATCACATAATGTAAATAAAACCTTCGTACATCACCTCAGCATGACACTGTCTCCTTAGATACAACTGGCTCAAGTGATGATGAAACAAATACATGATGTAAATTAGCCATTTTAAATCCTCTCTTATAGATCTACATGAACCCTTAAACAAATATCAAGGGTCACCCCCGAAGCAGCCCCATTATATGTCTTAATAATCGACCTCTGCGAATGTCTGTTACCTCATCTCACATGGGTGTTGTATTGAAAATTGCTGTGTGAAGAAATGAGCCTGTGACTTTAACCTAAATTGCTTTTAATTGCTCTGTGAGAGGAGCAATTTATTAATCTTATGTCTCGTCTTGTGTCTCCTTGCACAGGGAGTACAGGTACAAGGACAATGTGAGCATGGTGGAGAATGGCACAATGGTGTCCGCGTACAACACCAAAAGCTTTGTGTTCCTGCAGGAGAGGTCGGTCGGTGATCCCGCTGTGGATCACATCACCACTGTCAACATCCCGGTGTGGGTGAGTCTTGAACTTAAACAAACAGGAAAGTTGAAGTGGGGGAAAGTGGAGAGCGTTCCTTCTGCATTTTGTTTCCTTAATCCCACCCCACCCTGCATCGTCTACTGCACCACTCTGCTCCGTTTCCTGTCTCTAGGCCGTGATGAACAAAGTGAAGGGGAGTTTCTGGAAATCGTCCATGGTGTCCGTCTGGATGAATACCTATAAGAGTGGCCTCTTTACCACTCGCACCGTGGATGAGTTGCTGTGGGGCTACGAAGATCCCCTGCTGGCCCGCATCAGTTCCACCACACCTGAAGTGGGGAAGATCTTTGGCCTCATGCACAAGGCATGTGCACCTACACGAATAATAATAACAGCTGATCAACCCCAGCTGGATTTTTTTTCATGGTTTACAAAGAAAAAAAGATGTATTATTTATCATTTAGTCTTAAATGTTTGGATTGATCTAGAAAAATGGAAGTAACGACGGGGAGTTTGTCTACCACACCGGGGAGCAGAATTACATGGATTATGGCCGGGTCCAAACGTGGAAAGGTCAAAGGTAGAAATATCGCAGCCTCACACAAACACAATCCCTGCTGACGATACGTCACTAACTTTTGGATTAAAAACATCACTCAAATCTGCTGCTTTTTGCCAGTAACAGCTGAGTCTGTTGTTTTGTGTTTTCATGTCCGCTGGTAGCACAGACTACAGGGCAGGACATCCTGATACTTGGAATGCCTTAATAATGGCTTTTTTAGTGACCTTGTGCTAACCCGTTTTATCGTCTCAGTTTCCCCCAGCTTGAGTTCCCCTGCAGCAATTATCTTTCCTGCTCCTACTGTGACTTTGAGATAAATAAACATTTCATCAGCAAAACAAAGTAATGTGCTGTCATTAAGATGGGGTTGATAAGAGGGAGTTTTAATTTTTCCCTTTATAAAAATCTATCGCTGCTTTATAGATAGCATATGATTCCCAGAAGCATTTCATCTGTGTCCGTAGAGAGATACTCTGTGTTACCTTTATGCTTTTTTCTCTGCATAAAAATCCTATTGATGCAATTTTTAAAATGCAGCACGCTGACGTTCTGGAAAAGTGACCAAAGCAACAGCATCAATGGATCTGATGGAAGTGCTTTCCATCCCCTGCTGGATAAGAATGAGCGTATTTACATCTTCACCCCAGACCTCTGCAGGTACGCTTCAGCACCACAGTGTCTTAACTGATACCACTTTAACATTGAAGACATCTGGGTAAATCTAAACTGTTCTTGCCACGTGAGCGATACAGATTCAAGAATGGCAATATTGGTTGGTCAGTCAGCCGGGCTGCCACTTTGGTTCATGAAATTTGGTTCAGATATACATGATGTACAGTGGATACATCTCAATGACTTTGGGGACGCTTGGACTTTTCCTCTAGCGCCACCAGCAGGCCTAATTAAAGGTTTTTCCCCTACTTTGATTTATGACTCAATCCTGTAGGTTAACTGTGCTGTTTTGTGTTAATTAGCAAATGGAACATAGTAAATAATAACCTACTAAACATCAGCATGTCAGCAT